GGTTTTTTTTTCAAAAATCATTTTCGGTCCGGCCCGGGTTTTTTTTCAAAAATCATTTTCGGTCCGGCCCGGTTTTTTTTTAAAAAATCATTTTCGGTCCGGCCCGGTTTTTTTTTCAAAAATCATTTTCGGTCCGGCCCGGGTTTTTTTTCAAAAATTTTCAGGCCCGGCCTGGAGGACCGGGCCTGCAGGTCTTTGAAAATTATAAAATAAAAATGCTGATAAAAAACACTGAATTTTATAAATTCGTTAACTATACAACAAATATTAATTTATATGTTTTTTTGTTTATATTTTTCATCACAACAAAAATTTATGTCCCATAATTATATTATTTTTTTTTTGAAAATTTTTTATATTTTATAAATATTTTTTTATTAACAAATTTATTGTCAAAAAATTTTTTTTAAAATATATATAATGAATTAAGATAATAAATTTCTTACCACAGTCCCATATATAATATAAGACAAGGGAAAATTGTAACATATATTCTCCAATTAAATTTTTTATCGATAATCATATGATTTTTTGTTTTGTTTTTAATTAAAAGTCTACAAAGTTGCGTTATTACTTATAAAATGAAGAGGGTAATATTTTGTACTTTCGTTATGCAAAGAGTTATATTATCATCCTGTTGAAATCGGGTACAATTAACATATCCTCCGACTCTTTGGTAGATACGTGAATACCGATGTTTAAAGCCGAAACATCGATAATGCTAGCAACAAATAGTGTGAAGGAAAAAAAACTAGACTGAGCTAACCCCACCAACGTGATTCTAAGTTGCGGGTGGGTGGGGGGAAGTAAATACCGGCCGATACTCATAAGGCAAAACTATAAGTTACAGACATGAATCTCATTCTACCTAAACACTTTGACTCGGGGGAGGGCTATATCGAACCGAAAAATCTCCCTTTACCTATCATCGAGCAAATCTCTATTTCCAACTAACAGACACGGAAGTCAACAAACAGTTCATCGAATAACCTATCATAAAGAAAAAACCCATACCTTTCTTTATAGCTGCAGACCCTATACCAGCTTTTACCATGGGGAGGGAAGAGTCATCTCTGTTTTAACATGTACAGCGATGATTCATAATTTTTATGAATTAATAAGGTTTGATAATTTTTTTTTTTTAAAATATAAAATTAATTGGTTTTGTAGTTTTAGGTAATATGTTTCATGTTATATTTTACTTTATACTTTTATTTTCATTTTTTAAAATAAATAGACCTATTTTTTTTATTAATTAAATTTCTTTTTTTTCAAAATATTTATTTTTATTTTTATTTTTAACTCGCTTGTAAATTAAATATTTGATTTTTTTTTGGTTGAGTCTTGTTTTTCATATCTATGAATATTTATTTTTTAATCTATATTCCCTCATAAACATTTTACTTAAATTAACAAACCTGATATTATCCTTTTAACGGGTTGTCTGCTTTGAAAGGGGGAGGGGGGGGTTACTATTTATAAGACTTTGCTAACTCAGATATTGGGTACGACAAGTAATTTTACATTTCTCACCATACAAGCCCCAATAAGGAAGGCATTCTAATATATCCTCCTTTCACAGACTCAAAGATTATCCAAGTAATATTCTACTTAATAGTAGAGGCTCAAATCGCAATAGTTACAAAGTAGAAAAAATAAAATATTTTTAAAAAATTCAGATTTTGTTCATTTTATTTTTTAAGCAAATTTTATACCCTTTATTAGATTTAAAGGATTATTAATTTAGATCCGGTTAAATTTAAAAAATGTTTAAATTTTATAGTTTTTAGTTGTGATAAACTAATAACTCTAGATTTTAATGATTAGCTCGAATCTTATAGGATTGTTACTAGATCAACTGGTTCTTAGATCATCGTGATAAATTATAAAGTCCGAATAAAGAAAAACATTCCTTGCAGCAAAATAAAAGTCTTGCTGGGCTTTTTGATATTTCTTCAAGATTTAGATTTAAAAAATGTGTCAAATTAGGAATGTTACGAATATGTATTAATTTAATTATTTATTTTTTTAAAGATAAATATTATAATATTTTAGAATACTTTCATTTCATTTATAAAAAATATGTTTTAATTTATAAAATTATCGATAAATATATTTGTCTAGATAGAATGGACGCATCCTCGTCCCATCAATTTGTTAATGTGCTTTTTACGAATCCAGCTTAAAAATAACGACTAAAATACTTGGATGTCTTCTACATTTAAAAAAACCGCCAAAGAGTATTAAATTAAGTTCACACCTTTTTTTTTTAGCTGAATCAACTATCGCAAAATGTTTTTGGGTAGGGCCAGTTGGCAAAAAGTTGTTTTATGGGCCAATGGCCTGGACAATTAATAGGGTTTAAAAAAATAATCAAGGTAACCTTTTATAAAATTTTAACGGTGTAATTTGGCTGGGCCTGATTCTAATATTCAAAATGATGAAAGTAGAGCTAAGGTCAGCGAATTTGATATTGGTTAAGTAACCAAATTGACCATCACAAAATAATTTCCTTAGACCCTAAATCCCAATTACTAAAATAAACTGAAATAGATTAGGGAGGTGAATGCAGTCTAATGTATCCGGTAGATTCTACTTAATCTAGTGTTAGTTGTTTATATTAAAAAAAATTTTTTTACAATTTTGATTTGTAAATTAGAAGGAGGTAAGGAATAGGAAGAGTTTATGTTGAAAGGGGGTAAGGGAAATAGAAGATAATTCGTCCGTTCCTTAGGTTGGTGTAAAGTCTCCAGCTAATATGATATGACCAAAGTTCTCTAAACCTTCCAGTTAATATCAGCATAACTATAGATTTTAATCTTCACGTCAGTCATAAATGCCTATATAACTAAAAATGTAATATTTAATGCACGTCACTCATAAATGTCAATATCGCTAAAAATATCATGTTTAATCTATACACGTCAGTCACAAATGTCAATATCACTAACAAATATTATATAATTTATGCACGTCAATCGTAAATGTCAATATCACTAACTGAGTGAATATATTACTTACAGAGTATAAATAACACGTTATACCGGGCCTAAAAATTAGGTCTGATGCAGATGAGTAATTTGAATTGAGAAATGTGTATTTGTTAATTTTTTTGCATTATAATTACAATTAATATCAATAAATATTAATCGTATGTTTATTCCATACAATATTTAATTTGATCAAATAAATTCCTTATCTGTAATCTAAATTGAATATTTTTTTTATGCTTAATATAATAATTTCCGAAGTTATGAAACTTTTTGGTAGGGAGCGTAGCGCTGAAACTGAATCTTTTTTTTATTAAATGCTTATAAAAATTGAAATGCTAAATCAAAAATTTCATAGCAGCGTGGGCGGGTATAAGATTTTAAGCTTATGAACGGGCATAATTTTTTAAAGAATTAGAGACAGGTTAAATTTTTATTAAAGCATTCGGACCAACTACGGTGCTAAAAACATACCAATTGAAAAACCTCTATTACCCGATGACATATAATAATACCTAGAGTGACGATGCAATCATTAAAAGTGTACATCAATGGAAACAGCTCAGGACTCCATTTTGATTACCCATATCATTATTAAAAAATTTTAAACTAGAGGCCGTTCCTATGCCTTACGCAAACTTTATTAAAGAATTGCCTGATCATCGAGATTATAAGGAAGCAATTTAATAGTAGTTCATGAGAACAATTACTATATGGATATTTAAAATGGCCGGTTCAGCTGATTTGCATTCAACGACGCTTGCAAATGCATTATTATGAATGCATCGTCAGTCTAGGTATTATTATATGTCATTGCTAGTACCTATCGTATTTATCGGAGGCCGACCCAAATTTAAATTAATGTAGGCAGATTACCCATTCAATATCACGTCCCCATCGTAGCTACATCATTCTGCTCCTTCTGGCAAGCCGCTGCTCTTAATCATTTTAAAACCGTTTCAAAATCCACAAAGAAAAAAAAACATATCCTCATTTTATAAACTTAAATTATTTTTCATGTTCTTATTTTAATAGATTTTTATGTTAAATTTTGATATTTTTTTTTTTAAAAAATATAACTTATCATTATTCTAGCCTTATTTATAAAGCTACATTCATCAATGTAAAAGTATATAATAGTGACAAATCATTTCTTTATATTAGGGCTGTGCCGAATAGGGCCGATACCTGTAAAAACCTGGTCCGATCTTTTTAATTTTATTTTTTATGTATATTTATTTTACATTATTATAATATTTTTTTTTATCTATTATAAATATTTTATTTTTTTTAATTATAGTCTTATTTGTAGAAATAAAAAAAATTAAATTAAATGTACAAATCGATTTTTTGCATAAAAAATATTGATTTCTTAAATTACATTTGGTTCAAAGAAGGGTGGTGAAAAATCAGTATAAATATCGGATCGGTGAAAAATATGTGGATCGGCACAGACCCATTTTATATAGTATCGTTGTAATCTTTATTTATTTCAAAAATTCTTTTTTCCTGATCAATATAAATTGTTAGAATCATAAACATTTTTTATAAAACTAAATTATATTTTATTATTTTTTTAAAACATATTTTCAATTATTTATTTAGTTTATAAGAATGTTCTTAACTTATACACAAATAATTTTCTTAAATATTAAAAAAAATATAAATTGACGCCATTTATCGAATCTGATAGGGAAATTAAATAATACACGTGACCTGACCTTAAAATTTTGATATCTGCAGGTTTCTGATATATATTTCACAAAAATAACAACTTCTCTTCATTTTGCCTAATTTTTTATTGCATTTATTCTCATTATTTTGTAAAATTTATATTTAAAAACTTCGCATTTTAAAATATATTTAAAAAAATATATATATATATATTATAAATAATTAAATTTAAAAAAAAAAAATTAAACTCAAAAGTAATTTATTTATAAATGTAGTAAGTAGTAATATTCAAAATAAAACATATTTTATAAAATTTTTAACAACAGTTTCTACGGACATATTTTTTTTTAAAAAAAAATCAAAAATAAAAGTTTGATTTTCGTCACAAAAATCACCATAAAATTTTTTTGTGCAGATATATTTTACATAAAAAAAATTTTTAAATTTTGGATGGAATGATTGCTTCTGAAAATATGAGATTCATAACAATAACTTATCCACTATCATATTGATTTTCTTTAACTTCTTCTTGTGATTTGGAGTAAGCTGAAACTGATTCAATAAAAAAAAAATTGTATAATTGAAATGTAAAAAATCCTATTAGTAAATTACCTGTAGACATTTCGTCAAGTTTTGACTCAATTTCGATAACGACATATTCATTTGAGAGTCCCCAACGGTGTTGTCACTTTTCTCTTTTTCGTTCAAAGCCATGAGACCTTCTTCCAAATACCTTTGAGTTTAGATAAAATTATACGTCTCATTATATAGGGTTGTCAAATTATCCTCCAAAAGATAAGTGTTTTTATTTTTTTAAAAAAAGATGATTTCTTAATTAAATGATAACATCAGAGTTGTTAAAAGATACTTTTTAAATAGATCTAGATACAGATACATCGTCTAAAATAATATCTAGATACAGATTATTTAATCAAAAATCTATCTAGATACAGATACCACATTTTGATATCTAGATACAGGATCTATATACTTGTATCTAGGTCCTTTAACAACTCTGGATAACATATAACCCTAAAAACTTTGCTCATTGATGGGACAAAGATTTGGACATTTATTAGCGAAATCTAAAGACTTTGGCAACAAATTTTTCTGACTAAAATATTGAGTTAGCCGTTTTTAAAAATTGGCTCAAATCGAGCCATTTATCAACACTACAACTTCTGCTCAACTTTGCTGGACGATCATATTAAAATTGAATGATAAAAAGCGTAAATTTTAGAATATTCCGTTATTGACACCATAAATATTTAAAAAAAAACAAAAGAAATATTGATATTTAATCAGAAATAATATATAATACTTTGAAATATTATAATAGAAAAACCATAAACGGACAAAGGGCAACCATCTTTTATAATGGGCCTTGATAGAAAAAAAAATTGAATGTCTCGGTCACAGAAGCGTATAGTGGTAAATAGCTCGCAAGCCGGTTTTACCAATCTAAGCTGAACATCGAGCCAAAACTATCCCATCTTACTAGTAATTCTTAGGGAAGAAGATAGGTCCTTGAAAAACAGGGAAAAAGATGGCTCGCGTTAAGATTGGGGTAAATTGGTCTATTACGCTTAATTCTGATTATTTACTGGCATCGAATATCGATGTCCCGGGTAAGATCTTCATTTTTAGATGAAGACATTTCTTCCCCCAACTTTTCCACGACACCCAGTACAGTCAAACGCGTCAAATTTTGGCTCTCAAAGAGGTCGACGGGGTCCAATTTTTTGCAAAGAGCCAACAGCAAGGTATCGCCATTTTTGTGGTTTCCCGCTGCCAAAGGATTCGATCCTGGTTCAACGTCACGGGAAATGGTTGGATAAAGGTGGTAAAACATGGCCTATTGTTTTTGAACAATATATATGCACATAAATTAATAATAAACTCTTATTCGGCATTTAATTTCAAAAAAGCACTTGTAGACCTAAATTAAGCCATGCCTGGTCTTAGGCCTCTACTAATTTTATTAATTCTTCTTGGATATAATTGGGGCTTGTGAGCTGGCCGCGCTATTAATAACTCAAAGGATATCAAATAATAAGATACACTGCCCCCAAATTTACTTCTTTAAAAGCGTCCTCTGTTTTGCCCGCGTCAACTAGCTTGATCAAATCTTCGATAGTCACGGTATAAGGCTTTCCCATGAGACCCTCGGGATCCTTAAGTATAGGGGGCGTTGCATTGCATACAATGGATTCGTTTAAGGCAGTTTTAAACATAGCCATTAAATCGTGGTTAAGCGTTTCCTTGAGATTGGTCTTAATATCGGTTTGGATTAGGTTAGTAGACGCGTTGATTTCTTTCTTTATGATATCTTGAAATTTAGATAGGAGTTGGCAGAGCGCCCTATGTGTATATTTTTTTTTAAAAGTATAATTCTGTTAGAGAAAGATGACATCAATTTAGTTTTGATATTATATATGATAAACATAACATTTTAAATCAATCATATTGATAATTTGACAATAGTTTATGCCAAGAGTTATATTCAATGTTTTTATTAAATATTTGATTGAAATTAAAAAAGAGTGACTTTATCGATATAACATATTTTTGCTAACCCTAACAATAACTCATAATTGAACAAGGTTTGGAAGATCCTATTATAAACATACAAAAAATTTGTATAAAAAAAAACATTTTAAGGGTCTGAGAGAAATAAGCCATGATGGTCTGTTGCTGAGGGTCTGGACTAAGGCTAGGAACGGAGGCAACCATTTTTTCCTTCATAATCAATGTGGAGGAGAGCGGGTTATTCAAGATATGCGTGCCGGGAGGCGGGATAAGCTTTTCCATTTGGGCACACAAGGCTGATATCCGTTCCAGCGATTTATCAAAACGGCTCGCAGAGTCGGTCCGAGCTCGGTCTAGGGAGACGCAAACTACGAGGATATCAAATAAACAAAATTTTGAGTAAAGTATAATTTAAAAATTCATTATTTTTAGAAAATTTAATTTTAGTGGTTGATGATTAATTAAAATAAAATGATAATTTCAAGCTCAACTTCATCTTAAAAATGCAGAAAAAAAATACTAGTGCTGTAAAGTAACTTCAAAAAAGTAAAGTCGTTACTGAAGGACTTTTTTGATAAGTAACGCTTCTTCTAGAGGTAACGAGTAACGCGTTTATTATTTTTTTGAGTAACGGTAACACAAATGAATTCTTTCCATTTTATTTTAAATATTCGTTGTTAAACTTTCAGCCAGGATTGTTAATCCAATTAATATTGAATCAATCAAGGTATGTCAACTTATATTCTTATTCTCTAATATTATGTCAATTCTATATATCTTCGGATCCCCAATATGAAACATTTTTTAACACCAATTTCCCCAATTGTAGAATAAACATGGGGCCAGTGTCTCCAAATTGTGCAGCGTTTTTAAGAAAAAAATGGGATATCATCTGATTAAACTGGTTAAAACAAGATGAAACTCTTCTTATAACTCCGTGAAATTAATAGCCTTATTAAAGAGAATAGCCAATTTGACGAATCTTGTGGTAAATCTGAACTACAAGGATTTTCAGATAATGAAGTCGTTCATAAAGCCACTTATTAATGCAATCCTGCTAGAACATAGATAAAAGGTATACAGTAAAAAATATTGTTTAAAATTTATATTTTGATTATATTTATTTCCAATAGATTCGAACATATCCATAAATATTAATACGTGCATACTAACAGTAATAATTCACCCGCTATTTAAATTGGACTGGCCCTGGTAAAATTACAGGTTAAAATTTATTTCTAGTTTGAGAAAATATCTTGACAAAGAAAAAGGGGCAGACTTTGATTCCTTTAAAAAACACACGCTTAACAGATTATTTTCTGATAGATTTTTAAAAAAAATTGATAAGAATCTGAATGAAGATGATCATCTATTAAGCTTTTTTTTCAAAAATCTTATTCCCCCAAGTAAAATTTTTATTTATTAAATATAATACAGCCCTCCCATCCTCTGCTCCAGTCGAAGTGAGCATGGCGAAAGACGTGTTGAGCACTCTCTTGTTAATCTGATCAAAATTTTAAAAATCAATTGTCGCTAAAATTAAAATATAAAATTATTATAAAAAATATTAATTTTGTATAATTTTATTAATATTATATATATAGGGAATTTTTGTGTATAATATTTTAATTTTCAATTAAAGAGTAACGCGTTACTTTTTGAATAGCCAGGTTCCTTTTTGGAACGCGTTCCTTTTATTAGACGTAACGCGTTTCTTTTTTTTTGAAGTAGCGTTTACGTTTACAGCACTATTAATTAAATTGTAATAGAAAAATGTTATTTTTTTAAAAAAAAACTAACAATCTTTCATGCCGCGTTCGAAGCTTATCTCCAATTGCTTGAATATTTCGGCAAGCAATGCCTCTATCTTGGGTAGTATATCGTTGGAAAAGGACACCTTGAAGCAGTCTCCTATTATAGACCGTTCCAGAACGCCGTTTTGTTTGAGAGCCGTTTGCAAGCCACGTTGAATGCTCTATATCGTTTCGTATTTTAATGAGCGTTAATGTGCATTAAGCATATAATATATATATATATCTTTTTAATGAATTATAGTTTAATTGGCTTATAACAAAAATACAGACATATCGGCCCGATATCAATCATTAAATAGTCTAGAATTTTCGTGAATAACTAATTAGAGGCCAACCGCCTTATAGTGTGCATAAATTGAGCGCTTTCAAACGCTGTGTTTGCAAGCGTCAATAATGTCTTTCAAATGGGCCCGTGCAAATTGAGTAAAATTACCGTTTGGCGATAGCAACCATTTTAAAAACGCAAACAGGTATGTCTTTTCAATACTTTTTTTTTTATTCTTCAATTTGTAATATTATATAAAAATGTAAATATAAATAACTTTACTTATAATCCTAAAAAGGAATATTCAGAAATTAAAGAAAATAAGAACGCAGACGATAAATATTAATTTTCAAAGACAAATCCTTTTTTTTAGAACTTATTTAAAATCTTGATTCGACGGTTATTAGTAAACAAATAAAGAACAACATCAATTTAAACAAGGAACGCGTTACGTTTAATTTTACTTAAAAAATTGAAAGTTAGATGGTTTTTTTTAAAGTACAAAATTGATATATTTATGACATCGATACAAAGGTTGATGGTAAATAAAAATCAATGTAAATATCGGATCGATACTTTAGTAATATTGGAAAATATCGGTGAAAAATTTGTAGATTGACACAGACCTATTTACAAGAGGTTAGCTTAAAATTTAAGAAATGCAATTTTAGATAGGCGCGGTCAATTTTATCTGGTGTCAAAAGCGTTTAGTTATAAGAAAGGAAAACATTTCAATTGCTTCCGTATCACAAATTAACACTATTTTAAAAAAGAAATCCAAAAGGGAGAAAAAAATTCTGTTAAATAAAATGATTTATAAGATCAACGATTACGTGACATTAATTTAGCAGAAACCAGCCAACGAATTTAATTAGTCCGTGGACCAATATATTAGTTCAGTAGTTATATATTTATCGGCACCCTCTAACAGCGGGGCATCGCAAAGAATATGGTCAGATTTTGAGAAGGTTGCGTACAAAAAACTTGAAAAGATTATCTTTAAAAAAATGAAAGGTAGATCTAATTTATATTTAGTAGCCTTCCCCCATTAGGGTAATAAAACAATAAGCAATTATTTAAGTCATCACAATTACACATCTAGTAATACTCTAACAAATCATGCCCATCAATGTTGATAAGGAAAAATTTTTTAAAAATTATTTTATTGTTTTCTAAATATTTAGGGAAAATGAAAATGTTGTTTTAAAACAAATTATGGCGTGTTATTTATAGTCCTCATATCCGATAAAATAGTAAGTGAGTTTTATTTTCCAAAAATAAATTTCTCCCATATTTTTTGAAAAAATCCATTTTATCCCATTTCCGGGACATGTTCTCTGTAAAGCATAATATCATCGGAAGAAAAAATGAGTGGAGTTTCTTTGAAATGTGAATCAAAAGTTATACCTGTTCCGTGGATTTGGCACTATCAGGACCGGAGGTAGATTTTTGATCTTTCATGTATGTGCATATAGAATTGAGAGTTTGGCTTAGGGTATCCTTTTGGGATTTGTTAGATTCGGCTATGGTTTCGGTAAATTTTTGTTCCAAATGGTTGAAGGATTTAAAGATTTCTAATAATAATAATAAAATAGGAGTTTGATAATAATGGATGAGTAATACTTATTAGAATGGTGCGTAAATTGGTTAAGAGCAATGAGGGTCATTACCTTTGATCTTTAGGAACCGACTAAGGTTCGAAAGATTGATAGAGATCACTATCATTGGCCATAGCCAGTGAGATCACGTGAGTAAAGCTAAGTAATTCATATATTGCTTGCCACTAACGGTTTTATAGAATTATGGGACAAATAAATTCGTTAAAATTCGGGGTTTACTTTAAATAAGGATAATACCAAATTGTATTTAGAAAAGAAATTTTTTGGAATCATTCTAAAAATTAGTTTAAACGAAGGTCTGCAATTGGAGATGGTTTAACGCTGCTGCCCAATTATTATAGACGGATATTTAAAACATTTAAACAATATAACTGGCAAAAAATTAAATAAGTAATGGGAGTGGAGGGTATATGTTATTCAGTTAATTAAAAATTAATTGTTAATTTGAAAATTTTCTATATAAAAAGGAAATAGCATTCAGGTGTTATATGCGAAGGGGTATAGAGGTGGTTTAGATATGAATCAAAGATGGGGTATATCTATTCCAATTTTTATTAATCGATAGTTCATTACATATGATAGCTTGCATTGTCTTATTAGAAAACATTTCTTTGTTGGGGAGCCAAGATCTCCTCCTTTGGGAATTAGTTGCTAACAGAGGGTTAGATGTTACTTGTTTAGGATTAAATATAGTTATTTCCTGAAAACCTTTTAGGTGTCATGAAGGAAATAAATGAAAATTCTAAATATAGTGTTTTCCTGATTTTCATGGGTAAAATGAATGAAAACTTTCATAGAAAAGAAATATCACAATATGCTAAACGCTTTTGCGGTCAATATATAGCCACTTCGTAAGATCCAGATCCTGCTACTAAAAAAAACGTTCTGGACTGAAGACCATATAGCATTTTGAATAAATGAGTAGATCAATATTTTATTTTCCAGAACCATGTGGAAGACGGGAACTTAAACAATGGTTGAACGGGTTTGTAAGCTAAACCGCCTAAACACCATTCCAGATACCTTAACATAAAAGCGAGAACTAAATATGGAATACACAAAATCGAAAAAAAATGGGTGAATTTCTATCTTGGTTTTATGAAAACAAAACAAAATGGAGTTTTCGAGTATTTACAATTAACAAACTAAAACAATATTTTTTTTAATGATCCCACAAATATGAATTGTGTTGTTAAACGGCTCGTTTTGAGCTTATTTTTAAATACGGCTAACTCAACATTTTAGCCAGAAAAATATTGCTCAAGCCTCGTGATTTTGATAGTATATGTCTAAACCCTTGTTCCTTCTGCTGAGCAAAATCTTCAGGTTTGCGTGATATTTATCTGGATAAAATATTTAGTTAACCGTTTTTTAAAAATCGGCTCAAAACGAGCCGTTTTAACAACATTAAACATGGGGCAGAATAGATACCCCACTTCGTAAAAAAAACGACTCGGTTAAAAAAATACAAACCTGGTATAACGTAGCTGTTGAAAACGTATTGCAAAGTTTTTTCGAGTCTGTGATTCAGACCGTTCCACAATTGGGGTTTGTTGAGAATGTTTTCTAACTGCTTGGATAAATTATCGGGCCCATCTCCCGATCCGCTATTAGAACTGTGACGTTTCGTCTCTGTCAATTTTTTGTCCATCTCGGTCTGGCGTTTGCTCATCGCGGTTACCGCTTCTTTAAATATATTTTTTTGTGAGGGATATTCACATTATAAATTTCATATTGTATGCTTTAGAGGTCTTATTTTTGTCCGAGCCCGAAAAAAAAATTTTCAACCTGACCCGAACCCGACTAAATTTTAAAATTTTGAGTGTGAATATTTCATAATATCCAAAAAAAACAATTAAAAATTATGGTGTATTATACTTTAAAACATATAACCTTTTATAATTACAATCGCGTTTAAAAAATTTATTGCGATTATTTGGCTTTAACGAAGCCCTCCTATCTTCAAAAAGACCCTGCCGGCCGCTGAAAACCCCCTTTCACTGCTAGCCGAGGAAGCATTAAATTAAGAAAGTCGTTATGATAAGTATTTCCGCCAACTCAAGATTTGGTAAACCATTTTAAATATCGAAAAATTTTGAGGCTATTTAAATAAATAGATCTTAGATAAATAGAAAAATGATCTAATTCAATATTTTAGCCAGAAAAATATTGCCTGCGTGGAGATTTCGCTAATAGAAATTCAAAACTTCGTAATATCTATGAGCAAAAAATCCTCAGGAATGGGTAAATATTTTTTTCTAAATACCATATGGAGTTAACCATTTTTAAAAATGGGCTCAAATGGAGAGATTTTGCATATAAATATTGGGCATAATCTTTAATCTACCTAATTTAAAAATTATAAAAAAATAAAGCAATATAATATTTCAGAATATATTGCCCATAAAAAAAACGATTATTGAGCCGTATATAATTAAAATATTTTCAAGATTCTCTTCTTCGAAATTAGATCTATAAGGAGAAGGAACTCGGGATAGATGGCACTAGGGCCAGGCAAATTCAATTTTTTTTAATTCAAATTCTTTTAAATTTTAATTAAAAGAATATTAATTAAGCGCATTTTTACGAAGTTAGATAAAGTATAAAATCCCTAATTTTCTTTAAGCCCGAACACAGCCAGCAGTTTAATGGGGCCTAGATCCCTGGTCTTATTTAGATTATGGTAATAACTAACCTTCCGTTTATACCAGGGCTGTGCATTTGACCGGTAAAATACGTTTCGGTCAATTGACCGATATTTGACCGGTCAAATATGGTCAAATTCAAATATATGTTTTTTAAGTTAAAATTTGAATATAATAGTAAAATGAATCTATATTATTAATTTTTTTAAATTCATTGTCATTAAATAACTAACATTTAGCTATCCATAACAGATTCTTGTTCTGATTCATATTCAATATTATTATTTTCTTTAATATTTTTTAATCAATTTTCCTGATGTCTTAGATCTTCAATCGATTTATATTTTTATAGGAATATTAACCCAAATCGACCTATTTCTTTCAAAAGAAGAAGAACTAGGAATTATTAATCTCTTAATGAGCATGGTGGGCAAAGTTTAATCTATTAACTTGAGGTCGGAATTGATTGTTTTTGGAAATTACTACTTTCCTAAATTCGCTATATTAAACATGCTGTTTTTGCTTTTGAAATTAATTATATCACTTAAAATATTTTGGTCATCACTATCTTGTAAAATAGCTAATTCTAGAATTATATCACATACTTCATTAAATTCACTACTAGTGAGATTCTCCTCTTGTTGTTGACCCCAAAAATAAGCAAACATTGTGATCAATTTGACTGTATTTGACCAGCTTCGGTCAATTGACTAAATTTGACTGATCAATTGACCGACTTGCCAACCCTGGTTTATACCCAAGTGAGGTTGGGGGGGGGGAGCTTGCCTTTTTTTAAGACCCAGCTCATATTTCAAAATTCGGTCCGGGGGGAGGAGCTACGATTAGCTGCTTTAAATAAACCAACCATATCAACAAAAATATACCTGCAAGCGTGTCCATTTTTTGAGCGAGCTTGGCTTGGGAGACCGAAATCTCCTTGAGGGCCTCGATTAACCTCTTATTTTCGTTTTCCAAAAGAGTCGTCACTTTATGGTTGTTAAGGTTGGTACTATTGACCAATCCGGGGCTGCTCGGAATAGGAGCAATACTGTTTATGGTGGCCGGCATTTTTTTGGCACTGGTCGTTTTAATTTGGGTAGTAATACTCGGGGGGCTGCCGAAAATGGAAGGGGGGTTGCTGAGGATGGAAGAGGTAGAATTGAGGACTTTTGAGTTTTTTATCGATAGATTATGAGGCGTGGTAGTGAGCGAGTTAGGGTTATTGGCAAGGTTTGGGTCCGAATTGGGGCAAACAGTTGAGATCGAAAGATTAACCGGGGTTAAGGTAGATTTCTTTGGTCTAACGGGAAGGGGGGGGGCAAAGAGAGTGAAATACAATTATATATGCGCCTTTGAATAATCAAATAAAATGGGTACGTACTAAAAATTAGATATATATTTAAAATTAATGAGGGAGGTTTATAAAAAAAAGGGTTAGGGGTTAATGGATATTACTTGCTAGTGGCCTGAGGCTTGAGGTGTTCTTGCTCAAGATTTTGTGGCCCATTAGCGATAGATTTCGAGTTTTTGGTGGATTTAAATAATTCGTCTTTCTTAGCAAACAAACTATCAAGCGATAGGGGCATAAAGGCCTTGGAAGTGATTGAATCATCGTTGGTATTGTTTATGGGTGTTCCATTTGTATTGGACGGGTTTTTAATCATATCCTCCCTGTTGGATAGTTTGAGGGGCATGGGCTCATTTGGCATAGTGCTATCGTCGTGAATTTTCTTTTTTTGAATGGGATCATCGTTTTTGGCGATGCTTTTAACGTCCGCCTCGCCTGTTCCATTTAGTTCGTTCTTCTGCAGCAAGAAACTTAGCAAATCTTCGATATCGTCACTATCCTCTCGAACCTTCTTGGTATCCTGATTTGAAATATCGTTAGTCTGATCCGAAATTGAGCTAGAAGAAGAGCCTTTGAGCATGAGATCGTCTATTGCAAAAAAATTGTTCACCGAATTACTGGTTTCGCCCTCCTTGGTGTCGGGAGTGTTCAAAACGTTAGTTACACTTTCGTTAGAATCGGAAGGAATCAATGAGGTTTCCAAATGTATAACTAATTTTCTTAGGCATTTGGGATGCAGAGCTATTATTCTTGTTAATTTTTTTTTTGAACAAATTATGTATGAATATAACAAATAGAAATATTAATTCTAAATCTTACGATATTTTTAAATAATTTGAAACATCCATACTTGTATTATAATACCTTCTTTTTTTTTATCTTAATCTCCAATTACACAACTTTATTTAAAATATTTCTCTAGCATGCCGAGTTTTATCGGCTCCGACCTCGAGGTCGTAGCCAAAAAATTCGCTCAGGCTCAAGCCGGCTCATTGAGCCGGCTGAGTTGGCTTGCTCGAGTCGGCTCAGGAGTTGGCTCAAGCGGCTCAGCCGTTAGCTCAAGCCGAAATTTATTTATTTGTGATTAGTGTTGTTAAATGGCTGATCCAAATCCGCTTCTTGGCTTACTAGTTTTATTAAACGGCTGAGCCAAGCCGGCTTCTTGGCTGCCATGCCGGCTTATCCCTAAACTCAGTCAAATTTTGAATCGAAAATTTGACTTAGACTCAAGAGTTGACTCTAGCCTACTTTTAAGCCAATAATTAATTTATTTGTGATTAGTGTTGTTAAATGGTTGACCCAAGCTGGCTTCTTGGCTTATTAGTGTTGTTAAACGGTTTAGCCGTAATTTGAAGCCTTTCATTGATTTTAAATCAGTGATGTAATAATATAACTGTAAGGTATTGAATGTTTTTCCTAGGACTATTGCAATTTATTTTACTATCTCTCAGCCAATATTATCTTTAGAAATAAAATATTATGTAAAAAAAAATAATAGCATAATTTAGGATTTGATATAGAAAACTGTTTTAATAAACAAATTTTCTTTTATATATAAAATATCAAACTGAATAAATTTTATTTTGATATTTTACACTCATCTTACATGATTAAAATAAAAAATTGTATTTATAAATCTTGGTATATTAAGCTTTTTAGACCATGTATCTATCTAGATAAATATGAAAAGTATCATAGCAACTCTGGTGTATCTATATTCAAAATTTTAGATCTCAAACTTTAATGTTCTGAGATATAGCTAATCAAAATTTGGGGTAAAATAGACCCCACCTTTGTAGTTAAGGGAGTTTTTTCCACCTTTGTAGTGAAGGGTTAAACATACAATTACAAATAAAAAGAAATTATTATTTAAAAAAATAAATTTCAACAAGTTCCTATTTTTTTTTATCGCATAATGTAATTTTTTTAAATTATTATTTAATATTTTTTATGCTTATTTATGCCATGCCATGCTATAAATAAAAAAGGCAAAGTTACATCCTGTTTTTTTAATATTTTATTATTTTTTGTACATATTTTTTTTTTAGATATAGAATAGAAATTAAATTATAAATAATTTTTTTCTTTTAAATATCCTTTATTGACTAAACATTAAAAAAATAAATTTTATGGATTCAACAAGTTTCGATTTACCATCTACATCTACCTCACACCAAGAAATGAGTGGAATAGAAGTACTACAATATTTCTATTTATATGTTCAAATATTAGCTAATCGTTTAGCTAAAATCGTTCTTGACTTCTCAATAGAAGTTTTTTAAGAAGACTTATTTTACTACTAATGATAATTATATTTTTGATCTGAATTTTAATCAATTTTTTCGTTTAGCCGAAATCTTCACTACGCAATATAAGTTTTTTTTAAGAAGAATAATTCAATTATAATTATATTTTTGATCTGATTTCTCATCAATTTTTAAAATAAGATAAGGTATTTTTATTATTATTAATTACTTCTTTACTTAATCGAAAACGTTGAACTTTATCTACGCAATAAAACACGAAAAGAAGTAGTGGCTTTAGGGTAAATAAATCTTCTTTCGAATTCCATTTATTTGAGGGAAATGGAATATAAAACAAATTAAAATTAAATATACAAATTGTTTTTTAAGATTTCGAATGAGAAAGTCATCTTCGGAAATTCCTATCATCCAAACTAACTAAAAGATACTTTTTAATTTTAAATATGATTAATCTAAATCGATTTCTTTTGTCCAATAGCTAATATATAGGAGTCCATAATCTTCGTTATTCATGAAAACGGTAATGATCTAGAAGATGAAAAAAAATATATTATATTATTTTTAATGTTTTTTTATTATCTAACAGCTGTTCTTTAGACTACTTTTTTTAGCTTATAGGTAGTATTCCTAAATGGCTTGATTTTTAAAAATGGCTAACCCAATATTTTAGCAAAAACTATTTTGGTTACCCATGTCATTATTAAAAAGGCAAACAGATTAAAGAATGGTTCCAGATCATCGAGAGAATAAGGAAGCAAGTTATCAATTTAATAATAGTTTTTAACATGAGAATAATTAGTATATGGGTTATGGGAAATATGTATTATAGCTATTAAGAACATTTTCTTCCCTGGTATCTTCTATTTCATTAATATCATTGTCTGAATCACTTTCAACGATTTAGATTTCCAAGGCGATGATATTTTAAATTATTAACACGTGATTTAGGTTTATAATATAGATTGAAAATATAAATTACAAATTGAAAATATATTTCAATTTCAAAATTAAATAATAAATCATAAAAATTATAATTAATTATGATATTATATTTAAATTTTCATGTTTATACTTACATTCATTATATTTTTTAAAAGTAGCTAAGTAGCGCGCTACTTAGTTACTTTCAAAAAAAGTAGCGCGCTAAAAAATAAAATAAATAATTACAAAAAAAAGTAGCGGCTATTAGCTATAGCTACCAAAAAAGATAGCGCGCTACTTTAACAACTCTGAAAATGACTAAAAAATAATAAAAATATTGGTTCGGATAGGTTTCTTTAAAAAATATTGGGCTAATTCAATATTTTACAAAAACAATAAATTCGATCTGATATTTAATATCGCCAAAGCCCTAAATAAAATGACTAGTTATATTTATCATTTTAAAACATTAATTAATTTTTTTTAAGTAGCTTAATAAATTAGCTATTTTTTTTAGCTATAGCTGCACAAAAAAAAATAGCGACATTAGTAATTAGCTATTTTTCTTTATAAAAGTAGTGTCACTACCTGTCCTGTATTTAATTTAATTGAAAAATATAACTAAACGCCTATTTAACAATCAATTAATATAAAAATTTAATTCCTTTACCCTAATCTTAGAGAAATCTATTTTATTGCTTAGAATCTTTTTTATATTTTGAGTCAAAAAAATAAAAGCCTTAGCCCTATCTTAAAATAAATTTTTTTAGACCCAAGCCCATCTTTAACTTAATTTCCACGTTAAACTAAATGACCGATAAATATAAAATTGTCTTTCAAGTAAAATAAAAGATCTCTAAATTTTACATCTATTTATTTTAGCAAATGTATAATTTTAATTTTTTGAATAATATTTAGACGCAGCCTATGTCCAGTCCAATAAGGGAAATTGAAGAAGGATATAAAGTATCTAGATCGGATAATAGTATTATGATAGGAAATAATTATAAAATGACTCCCAAGAAAACCAGACGAAAATGTCGGTTCTGCGATAAATACTACCTAGTTAGTACAGCATCTAGTAATTTAAAAAATCATTTGAAAAGATTTCATCCGAATGCCTTACATGAAAGTCTTCAGAATGCATCCTCATCTTTGTTTGGAGTTAAAATACTTTCACCTAGTGAAAATTTAAATCTTAATAAATTAATCCTCAAATATTTTGTTGATGAAAATATATCTATCAATTCATTCGACAGTGATTCATTTAAAAATATATTTAAATATATTAATAAATACGCAAAAATTTGGTGTAGACAAAGCGCTTCCAAATATTTATCTAAAATATATATAACAGCCAAGAATCAAATGATTGCTAATCTTAAGAAGGTGAAGAGCCAACTATCTATTACGACTGATTTGTGGACCGGTATAAATTCTATATCATACATGGCTTTGACAATCCATTATATAGATAATGATTGGTCACCCAAAAATTATTTATTAGATTTTATCGAAATACCTCACCCACATACGAGTGAGGAGATTTGTGCAATAATTATAGATTCCCTAGAAAAATTTAATATTATTAATAAAATTACATCTATTACTCATGATAACGCTTCCAATATTTTATTGGCATCCGAATACATGAAAAAATATTATATGAAAAATTATAGTAAAGAATTTTACAGCCATAGATGTTTGGCACATATTTTGAATATAGTAGTGAAAGAGGGATTAGATTCATTCTCTTCCCTATTAGAAAATGTAGACCGATTTGTCAGGAAAATACATAGAAGTCCTAAAATGATGCAAGAATTCCTAACCTTAAGTGGTGGCACGAAAATACCAATAGATGTGGCTACCAGATGGAACAGTAAATATTTAATGATACGTTCAATCAATCAGGTATAATTATTAATTATAAATTTTATTTTTTAATAATGTTTTATATTTTTAGAATATTGATGCGGTCTTTAAATTTTGCAAAAAATTTGATGATGAGTACCACATCAACAATGAGGATAGTATTTTTCTCAAGGAACTCGAATCATTTTTATATCCATTTTATAAGATAACAAACGAAATAAGCTCCGAAACAATAACCACGGTAGGCTTATCTGTATTATACATTAATACAATAATGACGTCACTGGAACGCACAGAGATATCAAATGCAAGCACTCAAATAAAAAAAGCGGCTTCTAAAATGAAAGAAAAATGCAAAATATATTCAGAACATATGGCAACTTTTGCAAATTATGTCTGTGCATTCCTAGATCCTCGAATAAAAAAAAAATATATACCAACTTTTCTTAATAAAGCTACATATTTGGATCATTTTAAAATTTTATATAACCAATATAATCCGGAAAATTTAAATGTTTATGATATCGATAACGAGCTTAATCCATCAAATCTTATGTCGGTAACGATATTTAATGACCTTAGAAAGTAAATACAAAAATTTATTATGTCATATATTTTTATAATTCGCTTTTAAGGGAAGCATATCAATATCCAGATCCAGCGAGAGAGGAGATGGAAGATTATATTGGAGAGGTTGTTGCTAAACCTACAATCCATGTTTTGGATTGGTGGAGTTCGAACAGCACAAGATTTCCCAAATTAGCAATGATGGCTAGAGATTTCTTTTCCCATCAATCAACATCTGTACCTAGTGAAAGAACCTTTTCACGTGCGGTTGACACATTGACAAAGAAAAGAAATCGAATTTCTTCTACAAAATTAAATGAATGTTTGTCATTAAAATCATGGAAATTTAATTTTTTAACTTTAAAAGATGATTTTTATATATAAATTTTAATTATATTATATATTTGTTTATACTATAATATACAAATAAATCAATAAATTTTATGAAAAAATGTGTTCTTTGCGCTGATATAAAATATCTTATTTCAATAATCAAATAGGGTTTATGGACCTTAGGTATGTTGGAAAGACTCTTGCATAAGAACGGTCAAATAATATATTTGTTAGCTTTATTATTTAAATATATTATCATATATTAGATTTATTTTGGCCTAATAGTTTTTATCATAATAATTAAAATAAATATTTCAAGTTAAAAATAAGTGAAGATAACTTTAGTGGCTATTTTTTATTTTTTTTTAAAAATTGGATATCAAATTAAGTATATAAGTAAAAATGGAAAAGATTTAACCAAGAATTTTAAAAATATAAAAACAATTTTTTGTATATTAAATCGCAATGAGAAATATACACAACATAATTAAAAATATATATTAAAAAAAATGAATTGGAAAAAAAAAGAATTTAATGCATAAAAAAGAACTGAGAAAAGTATTTTTAAAAAAGCGGATACATATCATCTGAGAGAAGCTTGAATATTTATAAAATTGGACCTGCAGATTTCCTTCCAGGGAAATCAGCTGACGAAGGTAAAATCCTTCATTGGGGTCACCTGATATCTGTCTCATTTTTTTCCCTTGATTTTAATTACAAAAATATTTATTTATTTAAATTTCTTCCCAACCCCCTCCCTTCCTATATTACTAAGGGTTGACTATAAATATAATTTATTATATTAGTTTATGATTTTAAAGGAGAAAATTAATTATTTATATCAAACATGTCAGCCTCCTTATTTTTATTAACTTGAGATAAACTAATGATGTATGGGTTGCCCTTGCCAGGTTTATAACTGCTGCTTTCTTATTATATTTATAATATATAAATGTATGCATTCTTTACCTGAATAAATTACATAAAAAGTATTTAAGTAAAATAGATGAAGCGGCATTAAAGAAAAAAAAATCTTAGATATTTTTTGTTTTTAATATTTTCTTAAAATATATAACATTTAAAAAACTAAAATCTGAATATACAAAGCACGGACTCTATGTATATCTAAATATTTTTTAAGAAATACTGGCCAACAAACGGCTCTGCAGCTATCGGATATAATAATTAATATTAAAATAAACCACATTTAAAAATTTATAAACAATACTTAATAATATTAATAAAAACCATCTTAATGTTTAATAAATATTTATACATCAAATTCTATGAAAAAATAAAGAAATAAAATGTTGAGTCAATAAAGGATATTTAAAAGAAAAAAATTATTTATATTTTAATTTATATTTTATACCTAAAAAATAAAATATGTACAAAAAATATTGAAAAAACAGGATGTATGTAACTTTGCCTTTTTTATTTATGGAACAATAAATAATAATTTTAAAAAATTTCATTCAACGATAAAAAAAAAATAGGAACTTGTTGTTGAATCCATTATAAAATTTATTTTTTTAAATAATAATATTTTCTTTTTATTTGTAATTGTATGTTTAATTTATTTTTTTCATTTATAAAATAATAATTGAAAATATTTGGTATCGTGTAATTACAGAGAAACCATTACAGAGAAAACAATTATAGAGAAACTTTTACAGAGAAAACAATTATAGAGAATGTCGTTTATAGAGATTTATTTTACAGAGAATGATTTTATAGAGAATTTTTTATAAAGAATTTTATTTAAGGAATGATTATTTTATAAAAAATGTTAATCTATTTAGTATAAATATGTGTAATTATTACTTAGGTAGGGTGCGCCTGCGTAAAACAGTTTTCTATATCAAATCCTAAATTATGCTATTATTTTTTTTTACATAATATTTTATTTCTAAAGATAATATTGGCTGAGAGATAGTAAAATAAATTGCAAGGGTCCTAGGAAAAACATTCAATACCTTACAGTAATATTATTACATCACTGATTTAAAATCAATGAAAGGCTTCAAATTACGGCCAAACCGTTTAGCAACACTAATAAGCCAAGAAGCCAGCTTGGGTCAACCGTTTAACAACACTAATCACAAATAAATTAATTATTGGCTTAAAAGTAGGCTTGAGTTACAAATTTTTGATTCAAAATTTGACTGAGTTTAGGGATAAGCCGGCATGGCAGCCAAGAAGCCGGCTTGGCTGAGCCGTTTAACAACATTAGTAAGCTAAGAAGCCGGTTTGGATCAGCCGTTTAACAAGACTAATCACAAATAAATAAATTTCGGCTTGAGCTAATGGCTTGAGCCAACTCCTGAGCCGGCTTGAGCTAATGGCTTGAGCCAACTCCTGAGCCGGCTTGAGCCAACTCCTGAGCCGACTCGAGCAAGCCAACTCAGCCGGCTTAATAAGCCGGCTTGAGTCTGAGTCTAATTTTAGGCTCAAAAACTGGCTGAGTTTAGGGCTAAGCCGGCTTGACTAAGTTTTTTAACAACACTACATTGAATATGTTCAGCGCCATTAGTGTTATGCATGGTATAATAATTATACATTACACACATCAAGGAGGGTAGAACTTTTATATGGTTAACACTACTCGCACCATCTAATTTTGACGAGATTTATCACCTTAAGGGGGAGGGCGGTACTAAGGAGGAGTGGCTATACTACATCCAGAGTTGGGCATATTAAAAATGTCAATGTACAAGATACAAAATTATCTTGTATCTTAGATGCAAGTATTCGCGGTACTGCCCAACTCTGACTACATCATTTCAATATTTACATACTCAAGACAAGCAGTCGAGACGGATCCGTGAGAGTCCAAATTATGGATTAGGTTGTCGTTGTTGAGAAGCATTCCCTCGAAAGCTTCCATCCCGAAAAGATCGATAGTTTCGGAGAAGAGATTCAAAATGGAAAAACTGATGACCGGTTGATTGATAACGACGCGCGTCAGGGAATCGAATCCTAAGTAATATTTATTTAAAATGGATCAAGGTTACCGAGTGACAACTCGAGGGTATAATTACAAGAAAAATATTTTAAAAAATTTGTTATATGATGAAGCAGCTGTTGGCAAAGCGAAAAAATTCATCCTTTAGTAAAAAAAAAAATCGAATTATGGCCTATAAAAAATAAAAGTACAAATCATGAATGATAAATGAGCAAAAAGGTAGGATAGATTCCATAAGACATATGCCCGTACCGTTAGCCTTCCCCATTTCCAGGAGGTAGAGCGTTTGACCATTGATGTCGGTTATAACCAAAAAAGGTTTGAAGAGGTTAGGACCTAAAGGGTAATCTATCCACCGGTATTTAGCGTAAAACGTGGCGGGGGTTACACACGCGGGAGCTGACGGTTCTGGCTGATACACGTTGTTACGGACAAAAGAAAACTTTTGTAGGCATTCAGCGTGGGCAGACTCGGGAGCTATTTTCCACAACTATCAAATATAAAGTAATAATGGGTAAATAAAGTTTAGATAGGCGAAATAATTAATGATTGGCATTGTATTGTTACATGTATACCTCATGGTAAAGACCCGCAAAATCGATTATTTTTTTTTCAGCTCGAACTCATCCGAGACCCATATAAAAGACTTAGATATAGGCCAATTAGAGAAATGTATCTCAAACTCGAAATATTTATTCTGTTATTAGACTGCTTTCATGGTGAGTGACGGATCCGATCTTACGTCAAAACAGATGATTTGACGGTTCCGTGTCAATTCAACGAAATTTTAATCGAGAATGTTTATTAGAGCGAAGCTTTTATTACGAAATTTTTTTTAAATATATACAGCTAACTTATAGGTCCGTGCATTTGGCCGAACGATTGGAAGCGCTAACGATGAACCATATGCCATTTTTAGTGTTTCGTTAGTAGAAAAGCAGTAAATATTTAGTTTTCGCTAATATTTAGTGCTTAATTAATATATTTAAACTCCGTTACTAATTTAGTTAACCGCCCTATAAAAAAAGGTTACTAAATAAAAAAATTATGACGTCACGATCTAGGCGTGAAATTGGACGAACGATTGGAAGCGCTTACGATGAAACCTATATCATTCCTAGGTGCTTAGTTAGTAGAGGTTATGCTTTAATCACTTTGGTAACCGAATTTAAGAAATAAAAATTTGTTTGCGAAAAAACAAAAATAAACAATGAATGGCGGGCCAACCAAAACAAAAAACTATAGTTGTACTAAACATCCTGTTTTCGCCATTATATAGTCCTTTAATTGATACATTCAAATTCCGCAACTTATTTGGTCAATCGTCGCCTTATGAAAAGGCAGTTATACCGCGAAAGAAATGTTTTGAGGTCAAATTTTGGCCAAATAATTACCAAAGTAGCAACGATGAAATTCATATCATTCCTTAGTGCTCCGTTCGTAGAGGTTAATGCCTTAATCAGCTTAGTAGCCGAAATTAAAATAAACAAATAATTAACATGGCGGCCCACGTCATGATCTAGAGCAGATCAAAGTCAATAGCGTAACCCTGATTCCTTATATAAAATACTACATTTGTCACAAAAGAAATCGTGAATTTAAAATGGTATCTATAATTCTGGCAGACAGCCGTAATCGGATTCGCCTTTCTATTTAGACCCTGTAAAACTGATTTTGAACTAGGACACACTATTTTGGTTTGCCTTTAAATCTCTATATTTAAGTAAATATTTTGCTTTAGGAAAAAAAATTACAGACACTTTTACTAACGTGAATCTAAATAACCACTCTTTCTCTACCTCCTTTTTAGGCTGTTTAAAGGGTCGCAGAATTCTAGATTAGCATTTTAGTATTGGGGCATTAGTTTGAGTTTTAATATTATTGTACAATATATATATATATATATATATATAGATATATTCAAAGGATTATAGCATTATTTTTCATTGTAATATTATTATATAAGATGCCAATTCAAAACTGTAAATCGTTGTGGATTGGGTAATTATTTAATAATAACGTTTTCGCGCTATTAAATTATGATAGAGGATAATATCCATATCATTCTTAGGACTTTTGTGATTTTTTTTTAAAAAACAAATAAATTAATAAATGAAGATATCCTAAAAAAATTGTCATACTTGATATTAAAAAGGAATGTAAATTAGTGCAAGTAAATCATAAGGCATTCTCATCCCAGGTAATTGTCGTTTAAGAAAACTTATAAGGTAGTGCTATTAAACGGCTCGTTTTGAGCCGATCTTTAAAAGCGGCTAACTCAATATTTTAGCCAGAAAAATATTGCCCAAGCCTCGATATTTCGCTGATAGATGTCCAAGCCTTTGTTCCTTCTAAAAACAAAATCTTCATGCCTGCGTAATATTATTCTTAAATGAAATATTGAGTTGAGCCGTTTAACAACACTAGCCAGTACAATATCAATAATGAATGAATTCTTTATTAGTAATATTTTTTTTTATTAAATAAGATACGTGTATTAAAATTTAAAAAATAATAATATAATATAAAACTATTTAATTTTTTTCCATAATATCATCAACATTTTTTACTACAATATTATTTATACAATTATGAATGAAATGATAGTTTAAAACAATTATTTTCATAGCTTCTTTAATTTCACTCGGCACTTTATTTGCACCGTCTACCAAAGACAAGCACAATATTCTATCTGGATCACTGTGGATTTCCAACATTATATCAAAATATTTTTCCATAAGGATCTCTTCTTTTTTTTACCCTAACCCCTTTTTACGGGTCTTACATTCTCGTTATTATCTGTGTCACTGTTTAGCGTTTTTCGGGGAATGGGGGAAGTAGTAAGAAATGATAGAGAATCGTACCATTTCCATGGAGTGCTAGATTTTAGCAGCATTCCCTGAATGTATTACTTCTCTTTTTCTTTTTTAAAAAAAAGAACCCCTCAAATTCTTCCATTTTAATTTGCATACATTTGGGGATGATTTAAGTCTTGGTAATTAATTAATAATTTATAATAGGATAAAGATAAATAATTTTATTTTAAATAAAGATTTATGTTGTTTTGATTTTATTTTAAAAGAAATATTTAATATATTTATATATTATAAATTGTTAAAATTTCACATTCCATATTAATGCTAACTAATATATATTATTTAATTAAAAAGTCTATTGATTTAAAAAATTCTTATTATAAAGTAGTCAATATTAGGTGATTCTATATAGTCCTGTTCTACTTTTTAGCACATAATGACCATAGTTCATCTACTATAAAATCTATTAGACTAATAACATTACATTGATTAAACGTCATAGTCATTTTAAAAAAATAGCATATTGCATTTACATATATTCTCTTTTGCAAAGAGATAAATATTAAAAAGAACATGATAATATATATATATATAAATTTAAAATGGATAAAAATAATTAAGATATGTTAAGATAAAATTAGCATCTCTAACTTCTACAAAATTAGTCAAATTGATTTTTAATTTAAAATTTTATATTATATATTAAATATTTCCGTCTAATATTATAAAATTGGATTAAAAATGAAGTCCATCTCTATATTTCTATATTTCGTATAATAAGCTGCAGATAGTTAAATTATATAAAATAAAGAGGATATGACATGGAGCATACACCGATTTTATATTTAATTTAGAAAATAATTTTTATTTAAAATTGGTAATCCTAATTAAACTAATAATGTTACTACTTTGTAACCAGAGATCCGAGACCCCAATGAACATCGATTTAGTTCAGATTAAGCTAAATATAGCTAGGTTCGGTTTAAATAATAGGTGAGGGCAATTTTTGAATCGTAAAGAGTATTACGGCACGCGTAGAGTAGATGTTAGAGCGCTCAAAGCAATTAGGGGATCGGAGTTAGAAATTTTTTTTTTTTAAAAATGATTTTATAATTTCTAATATTTTTATTGGAAATTATAATTGAATTATAACCACGAAATTGTTTATTATTAGTGTATTCTCTCTTGTTTTTTTTGCTGGTAAATTAATATTGGTTTTTATATTTTAATTAAAAACATTTTCAATACATCTCATTTAATTTATATTTTGCATATAAATTGTAATAAACTTGTGAAATTTAAATTTATTTTATATAAATTTCCGAAAAAAAATAATTATTAATGGAAATCTATTCAATTCATATATTGTTTAAATTTAATGAAATATTTCTATAATGTAATTTATATATCTCTCTGCCCTTATTTAATTAAATATTGGTATTGATTTTTATACTAATGCAAATCGGGCACTTTATATATATATAAAAAAATATTAATTTTAATTAAAGTTTTCAAAAATTTTTATTTCTTAATTCTAGATTTATGTACAAAAAAAATAAAATATTAAAAAAAATAAAATAACAAAATCAAATTGTGTTATTATATATCTATTAATTAAGGTAAAACAAATTTATAGCTCCCAATCACTTATATTACCTGAGACATGGTTGGGCTAAAATGTTACAAATAGCGTTATAGGTTAAGTAAGTGCCGAGTCACATATTTTTCACCGATCCGATACCGATCCGATATTTATTGATCTTCACCCCCCCACCCCCCTTTGAACCAAATGTAATTAAGAAATCAATATTTTTTTCGCGCAAAAAATCCAATTATGCATTTAATCTAATATTTTTTTATTTCTACAATAATTAAAAAAAGGCTTACGGGATATTGGTAGTATTAAATAAATTTTTCGTTATTCCTCCCCGTGAAATTAGAATTCGGCGGATAACGCATTTTGCAAAATTATCTTTGCCTTTTGTAAAATATTTCCATAATTCAGATACCATATTTTAAAATTTTTTTTATTTAATTTAAAGTATAAAATAATAAAATTGGCGTTATTATATTAAAAAGATTTATAATATTATAAAATAAACTTTTAAAATACTATAAATCTATTTTTTTAAAAATAAATAAAATTTAAGGGGTGTTGTGCATTTGCATAGTTTAAAAAAAAAAAAATTTATTAAGAAAATATTATTAATGTTAAATAAATATACATAAAATAACAACAAAAAAAAATAAGGATGGGTTTTTTAAAGCTATCAACCCGATCCGATATTTTTGGAAAAGGCTAAATATCGGTACCGATCCGATAATTAATATCGGCACAGCCCTAAATTCTACCATTTTTTTAAATGTAACAAAGAGCTCTGGTGGTAACCGTTACATTTATTTTTGAAATATATGATAAAACATTTTTTTATGATTATTTTTAAGTAAACTGAATAAAACTCTAAGATAAATGGCTGAATGTATTGGTTAACGGAAAACAAGAATACTTAAAATTGAAATATATAACTTCAACCAGAAGCTAGTTTAGTTTTCACATCCGTTTTAAGTACTATGCTGGGGATTATCATCGTCCCATAAAAAAAAATTGCAAGACCTTTTTATGACAATTGGTAGCAATTTTTTAGGATCTCATAAATCTGATCAGTGGAAATGCCAATTCCTATTTCCAAAGTTAAAGTCTATAGTTCAAATGATCTCTAGATTGATGTTTCACGATCCATCATTAGACCCTATACCGGTTTTTGGTGAGCTTCATCAAGCTTCTACAGTTACCAATAACTTTCATAACCATATAGGTATCTCTGGTTTTAAATAGTGTGCTATTAATTATTATTACTAATTTGGATGCTGTAAAATTTACAAGTTTTTGATTTTTTTTTAAAAATTGAAATATTTATTTAGGCAATAAGGAGAAAATTAGGGGTTGGAAAATATCAAGAGACTTGCAGATCCGGCCCTAAGACCGGCCCGAGTACCAGGGCCGGGCCGTATTTTAAATTTCTAAAAGGGCCGGGTCTGAAAATTTTTTTTTTAAATACCCGGGCCGGGCCATATTTTTTTTTTAAAATTTATACAACATGAATTATTATATTCGTCAATTGGATATGGTTATAATGATTATATATAGTTATGATTAATATAATGCTTGGTGAAAGTTAATACTAGCTAACACTCATAGTATCTATTACATAATATAATTATAGTTTTCCAGCCATGGAATAAATAGGCAAAGGATTAAATACATTATTATATAATATATGTTATATTTTTTATTAGTTAAAATATCAGTTTTATTTTTTTTATAAATACAATTAATATAGTATATTCTCAAAATATTATTTACACAAATTTTATAGTATCAATTTGTAATATACTAAATAACTGTTTAGAATATAAAAAAATAAAATATGTAGTAGTTGTTGTTAAACGGCTCGTTTTGAGCCGATTTTAAAAAACGGCTAACTCAGTTTTTATCCAGAAAAATATTATGCAAGCCTGAAAATTTTACTCATAGAAGGAGCAAAGGTCTATAGACATATAGTATAGAAATTTCGAGGCTTAATCAATATTTTTCTGGCGAAAATATTGAGTTAGCCGTTTTTAAAAATTGGCTCAAAACGAGCTGTTTAACAACATTAGCTAATATGCTTGCTTATTAAATTATAATACTCGCCAAAATATATGATAAAAGGCAAATAGATGATTTTTTTGTATATACCAGGTCGAATATAATTTTAAAAAATCGAGCCGGGCCTAAAATTTTTTTTATTTTTAAACCCGGGCCAGGCCAGGCCGTGCAAATGGTACCTCTGCAAATCTCTGGAAAATATAGAGTTACGATGTAGTCAAATTTTAAGTTGAGTAAAAATGTCCATTATATTTAAAATGCTAATGTATGGAAGGATATTCTTTATGCCTTTAATTATAGTATAAGGTAATCATGACTCTATATAACACTAAAAAAAATCAAAGCTGTTTTATAATGGTTGGCAAATGAGCCCTATAATTTTTTACAAAATATTTTATGTAGCCGGGTGACAAAATTCAAGATATATTATAAATATAAACCTTGATTTCTGAGTTGTGACTAGCTAGAGTGAGCATATTAAATGCAAGGTTTTTGTCATATTCGGAGGTTAATGGATTAGTTTCTGCAGCATGGTCCAAGTAAAGTAAACCAGTCACTGGCAGGTTATGAGGCTTGAACTCAAATAGCTGTTGCAATGGTTCTTTGCCATCAAGAGATGACTAAAAAATTCCAAAAATTTAATTAAATACAAATTTCTGAATATCAAAATTATGACTATACATCATAGTTACATTTACTTCCAGAGAAGACTTCTACTAAGGGGAAGGGAGGGTGGGTAAGACATAAGATGGTCATTGAAGTTGGAGAGGGGGTAGAAAGTTAGGCATAACTCATCTTAATTTGAATGAAATTAGAGTGAGATAGTTTTTAAATTCTATTTTTATTTTTATAAGTTTTGATTTGGTGTTGGTGTGGGGCTAAAATTTTTGATGAGGGTAATATTGTCATTGACTTATGGGGAGGGGGGATGGGGGGGTGTAGAAGTTCCTGGTTTGGGAAATATAATATAAATTGTCAAATTGTTTTGTATATAACATTACATTTCCTTAAAACTAACATCAATTTATATATTATATATAGTCTTAGTATAATTTGAAACCTTGTAAAATTTGACATGGCCATCTTGATAAAAAACTGCCAAAGAAGAACCATCAGAATTAATATCGGCACCTATCATATAAGGGATATCATTATGATTGGCAGTATTATCAGCCCCATAGGCTGTCAGCTTGTGAATAATTTTTATTAGATCATTTGTGCTCCCAGGAAGAGCAATGTCTGCATAAGTAATAAATTGAAATATTTTGGCATCACCTTTTTCCAAGTCTTCTGTCATTGTGAAATCAATAATAAGTAACTAAAATGAAAGAATTGATTAAAAAAAATACAAAATTATTATGTAAAAAAAACTCATCCACACACAAAAAAAGTAAACCTCTTTGGCAAGTATAATGAGGAGGATTTGTCGGATTTGTGATTGAGCTGATAAATCTTTCCAGATAACTCTTAAAGGAAGCCTGTTTTCTTGATGGCTCAAATCACCCTCATGGAATGTCTGACCAGAGGGAATCATATGATATAAAGGAATGCAACTTGATTATTTTTTTTTTAAATTCATTGAGTAGGATTATAAAATATGGTCCCCATTCTAAATTGCTAAGACAAAAATTGGGAATCTCATTTATATCTCCTAGAATATTTTTAAATAAATATTAACAATAATTAAGATAGATTCTACAGAAGTAGATTCATCCTATATTTATTGAGTTTTTAAAAAAAATCATTACAAATGAGGAAAATATTATTTAAGATTCCCGAATTTGTAATCTTTAAGATATTTCCCCAAGATTTTTTAATAAATCAATTTAATACAATTGTTTACTTCCCTAGCATCGAATATTATCTTCAATAATGCTTTTAAAAATTTCTATGATATATATATATATAAGCTAGATTCCCAATTTTTGATTTTTACCTAACTCCAATATAATAGAAATATTAATTCGTATTTTTTAAATAGATAGGATCCAAAGTGAATATTCATAATTATGGATTATTATAAAAATCTCAATATAGTCATTTAAAATAAGCTAAAAATCAAGATTTTAAACAACATTAGTTAAGTGACAAAATGTATTTTATTATATTAAGAAGCCATACAATATTATCATTGAACTTATGTTAATTTATATTATATACTTGTAAGAGTACTCATCAGATGAATCAGAAAGAGTGTTTTTAATCATGCATATATCGTAAACAAATGTGTTAGATTTGGCATCTATGTAAGCTAATTTACAAATCTGTGAGTCTGAAGTCACATATACATGTTGTGAAAAGGATACATCACATATAAAATCACAAGAACTCTTCAACAGGGGTTTAATTTTGGTTTGATTTTGCATAATCCTAATACCACAAGAGTTATCATTACCTTTTTTAACATATATATGTCTTAATATTTGATAAATTCTGAAAGTGTTTACAATTTATATGCAGCTATATAACACTTAAATTTCTCTGTATATACAACAATAATTAAAAAATAATAAATAGAAAATGGCTATTGGATTAATAGCTGTACCATCTAGTGTTTAAAAAATTTATGTAAATTTTGCACTAAAGTGTACTTATGAATAATTATCATTTTCTATTTAAAATAGTAAAATTATATAAAATAACCATAAAAAGAATTAACATGTAATAAATAACTTTTAAACTTAACTGATGTGTCATTTCAAAAAATAGAAGGTACTTTTAAGGGGATAAGCTACGAATTTTAATTTTCTTTGGCAATCAACTAAATCTCCATTGAGCCATTTTGTTTCCCATTGATAATTGGCTAAATTCTCTACTATCACCTTATATAATTTTATGCAAAATGAGATTTGTAACATATACTAGGCAAATTTTATAATTATATACAATTTATTCAAATACAAAATAAGCATCTTTACAACATTAACAATTTATAAATTCCTTATAAACACATGATATTCATATATTTAAGCAAATAAAAATTCAAAACCTTATCATTTCCTGAGCTTTGTTTAAATGGTATAAGATCACATTGTATAAGAATATTATCCCCATGAATAGTATATTTATTGGCAGCTTCGTTAGGAGCTCTATTAAAATAAATTGTCACATAAATTAATAATGATTATTATACATCGTTTCAGTTTTTTTTAGCATCTCGCTACTTTTAAATACTATAGCAGTCATTTAAAATATGAATAAAAAATTTAACATGGTGTGGACTAAACGTTACCGCTGGAAATATAATAGTATAACGAACAATGATAACGAATGATTTATAAAAAAAGAAATAAATGTACAAACAACCAGAGTTGGGCTGTACCGCCAATACTTGTATCTAAGATACAAGATAGAAGATTCTTTTGTATCTTCTACTCAGTGTTTTTTTGACATTTTTAATAAGATACTAGTATCTGTATCTAAAATCCTTTATTCTGAAAAGAATCTTGTATCTTTTTCATTTTCATTTACTTGACAAAAGATACAAATACAGATTCTTTTTAATATTCATGTTTAAAATTTTACATATAACAGTATATATCTTATTTTCTTCGAGAATCTTGTATTAATTTCCTTATTTAATGACAACCAAAAGTAGCTGAAAAATTTACAACTCATATTAAGGTAGATAGATAAAAAATATAAAAACACCAAAATAAAATAAAGATTATATTTTATATAAATGTAACTCGATGAATATCATTCCAATTTTAAGTAACATTTTTTTTATTTGTAGAATGATTAGCACTCATGGTAGTAAAATTTAAATTATGGATATAAGCAGTGGCCCCTACAACGGGAAGGGGGTCCGAAGCAAATGCTTCAGTAAATTTGAGTGGGGGTACTTTTTTAATTTTTTTTTTATTATTTAATTCTTTTACTGTTTTGTTACATCCATCATGATCAAGTGATTTCTGGTTTATAAATGTAATAATAAGCACCCCCCCCCCCCAGATTCTATTGAACAGGTGGTTTTCCTACATAGTTGATGACACATATGATGTTTCTGAATCAGAAGCAATAGCTTTGATAGTAAGATATGTTGAAAATAGTGAGACGCCGAAGCCTGTTGAAAGACTGATTGACATATATTGTACGGTAAATACCGCAAATCTCGATATAAGCCTAATATAATATCCAAACTTGGCTCGATGAATTTACCCCTTGAATTTCAAGTTGGGCAAAGTTATGATGGCGCCTCAAACATGAGTGGAAGAATAAATGGTGTGCCGGCCTTGATTAGAGCAGAGGAGACAAAGGCTGCAGTTATTTGGTGTTATTGTCATCGATTAAATTTAATCATTGTTCAATTATGCCAATAAAAAGAATTTCGAAATATTCTAGGAATACTAGACGAGATTTATATTTATTTTAATGGTGTAGAAAGATATGAGGTACTCAAAGAATGTCAGTGTAATTATCTGGAAAAATCGCAACGATTTCTACGCATCAAGAATACCACTCGGGTAATAGCACTTTATTTATTTAGATTTAAAATGTTTTTTTATTTAGAAGCTGGCTATCGTCATATAAAGCTATTGTAAATTTTTTTCTACTTTATGATGCCTTGAGGGCAGCTTTAACAAATTTAAAGGATTCTGAAGATCCTGCCACTTCCACTATGGCTAGTGCTATAGTTTTTAGCATAGAAAAATTTGATTTTATCTTATCCCTTTGTGTTTTGGATAAAATATTGTTGATAACAAGTTTGACTTGTACAAAATTGCAAACCATTTTGAAGGATATAGGGTTTGCAATAAATAAATCAAATTCAATTGGCAAAAGATTGCGTGATTAATTTGAGAAGTATAATATAAAATATTGTTTTAATTATTTTTTAATCTAATAGATAATAACACTGAATTTTTGGATGTTTTTTCAAAGGCACAAGATTTATGAAGGAGAGAAATCTACCTTTTGATTTTGAAAGTTCTAGACTTCAAACATTACAATCCAAAAAGGAGAGGTATATATACTTTATCATTAAATATAGAAATTTTTTTAGCTTTAAAATAGTGTTTTATGCTGCACTCAATTTAATTATTATGTAGTTTAATGAAAGATTTGATGATGATTCGATGAAATTTTTACATCAAACATCATTTTTTTACGCCAAAGGGAATGGCAGAAAAATCAATTATTAAAGAAGATATCGAGGATATCTGTGAATTTTACAATTTAATCAAGTCAAATTTTCGAAGAAATGTTGAAGTTTAGAAATATTTATAAGATGGCTAAAATGGGGAATGTAATTATTATTCATGACGTAGAGATTCAAGAATCTAAAGATTTGTCAGATTCTGAGTGAAAATTTGTTTAATTAAAATATTTTTACCAATACATTATTTAGCTTCTTCTGATGATGATGATAGTTCAGGGACTTACGATTCAGATTGGGAAAACTATTCATTTATTTTACCATATCGTCTACTTTTAAATTTTTCTGCTTTCCCTAATTTAGCAATTTTATATAAATATTTATTAACCATCCTATAACCTCATGCACTGCCGAAAGAGTCATGAGTAAAATTAAATTAATTAAAACAAGACTTCGTAGTACCATGAAAGATTCATTTCTCAATAATTTAACCATATTATCAATGGAAAAAAATTTATTTAAACAATTAAATATTGATAAAATTATAAATTCTTTGGCTTTCTCTTCCCCTAATTTATCTAAATTATTAATTTAAAAATAATATTTATAAAGTATATATTTTTTGCATTTTATTTATATTATATATTAAAAATTGATGCTATAAAAATTATTTTTAAAATTTATGGGTGTCATAAAATAATTATAATTTTTTCGAGGGGGGGGGGGTACTTTTCAGTGGGGTATTCTGCTTTATTCGCTCAGAAAGTGTAGGGGCCACTGGATATTAGTTCCCACGAATCAAATCCAAATCTTAAAATTCTATATGGAAATTTTTTAAAAATAAAAGTTAAAAAAGACAACTTAAAGACTAGATGTAAAACCTGTATAAACAAAAAAATGATAAATAGTTAAACACAAATTTTGTTGAACATATTAAAGTATATTATTTATGTGTGGTTAAAAGGATAGGTCATCTTAAATATTTAAGTTAATATTGCTACCTTTATTAAAAGCTGCCTAAGGTGACATGGGCAATAATTTTAAGATAATATTTTCCTATGATTTGAATCAATGACATATAGATTTGAATATATGAGGCTTTTTTGACATAGATATCACATAGAGTGGCAGAGCTACGAGGGTGGTTTTCGGGTTTGGACCCCTCCCAGAGCAAAAATATTTTTTTAGATTATACGTTCAAAAAACTTAAAAGTGACTTTATATCAAATAAATACCATTAATATCTATATTTATATTTTTCTGGTTTTGATGTTTGTGGAAGGATATTATATTACTATTGAAATTATTCTAAATAGTATTATTATAAAGTATTGAGAATAATCGACTAAATTATAATAATGATGCATTTAAAAAAAATATTTATTATATATTATCGAAGATATGGTTATGATTTGTAAAAGAAACCCGGCCGAAGGCCGGGCTAAAGGGCCGAAGGCCCGTTAAACGGAGTCTGGGGGGCAGCCCCCAGGCTTTTATATGTATGGACCCCCTCTAAGGAAAATTCCTAGCTACGCCACTGATCACACATATTTTAATGGATTGAGTCAGATGATAAAAGCAAATACTTTTAAAATATATTAATAAAAGAAGCCCTAAATGTAGAACCAGAGTATATACAAGTTCAAACTATAACACCTTTAGATTTAACATTTAATAAAGAAAATGATGATTATATTTCTCTTAGTGAAACAAATTTTTCTGAGTTCAATAATACAAATAGGACTGGAGGTTTTAAATTATATTAAATAAATCGAAATACATTAATAATGCTTAAATTATCCTTCCATTAAGGAAATATTTATAAATATAATTCAGCTCCAATTGAAAGATAATTTAGTTTTGGCACAATGTTAAATAGGCCAAAAGGCAATTTAATGATAAATTATTTGAAAAATTTGATTATCTTATAAAATTATGAATCTATTTTAAATACTCTTTTGCAAATTAATATTTCAACTCCCATTAAAAATACTAGTCTCCCCTCCCTCTCTATTCTAAGAATAAGCTATTTATTACTAATATTAAAATGCCTGATTTTTATAATTAACTCATCATTAAATATTTTATTAAATATTCATTCATATTATATGCGTATGTTATGTTCTTCACAAATAAATAATAAAAACTGTAATTTATAAACTATTAATTGATAATTATAATTTAAAAATATATTGTATTTAGGATAATCTAATTAGACAAAAGATACAAGTATCTTTTATCTTGTATCTTTTTGATATTTAAAAAAGATACTAGTATCTGTATCTAAGATTCATTTTTTAACAAAGAATCTGTATCTATATATTTTTTTCGGAGGACATGCCTAACTCTGCAAACAACCATATGATAATGTGATTTGAATGTGATAGTCAATCTATACATCTTAATTTTTTTAATAAATTTGAAATTCGTATTTCCCTTTTTATTTTTAATAAATCTTTGAAGAAAAATTGGATTTAGAATAATTGAAATCACAACTTGTTATTAAAGTTGAAGGAAAAATGTGTTTATTAAATAAAATTTGATTAATAAATATCAATACTTTTTCGAAAGGTACGATGACGTTTTTTCATAGATACTTTGGGCCAGGTCATTGTTAATTACCTCTAAGTGAATATATATATCAATTTTTTAAACAACAATTTAAATTGGTAAAAAAGGGGGAATTATTTTTAAAATGTAAAAAAAATTAATTTTCTATATATCATGTTTAAGAGATGGAATAACGCGTTCTTTCCGATATTTTATATATCATCGCCTTAGATCAGAACCATTATCGTTGATAAAAAAATCCCTATTCGGGTCGATTTTCAAAAACGGCCCGATTACGATTATAACCAAGATAACATTTCGAACTTAAAGATTTAGCTCAAAGCTGTGGCAGAAATGCTTGGGCATCTATTTGTCAAATCTCGATGCTTACATAATGTTATTTTAGCTAAAATCTTGATCGGGCCGTTTTTAAAATGGACCCAAATCTGACTTTTTAACAACACTACCATCTAGTCTAGTTGGTTTCAAAAAAACATGGTTCTTGGTTAGAACAATTATCATA